CTGTTCTTCAATGTTTGACCTGAATTGTCTCACTATCTGTGCTAGGACTGAGCAGGGAGTGGTAGCTGAACTCAGCACTGCAAACTACGTTTAACCATTTGCTGTCATTCAGAGTGATGATTGTGCTAGGCCTGCTCATTCACCTGGCCCGTTTCATCTCCAAAATTAGCCCAATGATTGCTACACAAGTATCTTTCACTTAGATGCTATTATATAGGAATATAAGAGCACCGTTAGGACTCATCTGCACATACCTGTTAGAGGAGGCCAGCACAGCTGATCTACAGAACCTGGGGCCTAAATCTTTAACATGAGTGAAATGGAAATGGAAGTGTCTCCCCACGATTCAGCTCATGCAGAAGTCAGAATGGAGAAAGCATTTACTGTAACTGATAGCAGAAGTAGACTACAGACAATCCCAAACTGCAGGTAAATGCGTATTACAAGATTAGGTAAGCATGTCAAAAGATTCAAAGACTGATGCAATCTGTATGGTTTCTGTCAGTGTCACAGTTTTGGCTTCCCTCATTAGAAAATAAATGTTTTAGTATCTTCCTTAATGGAAGATTTTAAGACAAGAGTGAAGCAGGTGTGCAAGTGTCGGGAATAATCCCCATACTCTCCCTGCTGGCAGTGTTCTTGAGAGTTGAGATGGGATTAACATTTTCCTCCTTTAATGTTAATTTGCTGGCTGTTCATAAGGAAGCCACTAGCTTGGAACAGCTGCTGGGGTAAAATTAACCTGAGCCATGTCCAGGCCCTAGCAGATAGGTGCTGCTCTGACAAGCTGATGCATTTGGTGCTGACATCTCATCCTGAAGCTGAGTGCAGAAGGCTGATAGCAGGGTATGCCCTGGAGATCAGTATGTCCTGCCTTCCTCTGGGTTTATCTTCTTAGGCCTTGCAGAGATGGATTTACAGGGGGGAAATCAGGAGGAGTGGAATTTTCCTCATCTGTAAGTACCACGGCATGTTTTCTATCAAGAGATGGGGAAGTGACCGTGGCAGGCACCGCTTTCTTCCCCAAAATGCCATCCCAACTGCTTCATAACTAACCCTGAGCTATGGACATGTAGATGAGATACATTTGGAAAACCCCAACTACCTCCTTCGCCCCACTTTCTGCCCCAAAGAACATAGCAGAGTTTCTTGAACTAAGGCAAATCTGCCTTGGCTGAAAAATTTTACCCCAGTTAAACCTAAGGGTGATTCTTAGCAAAGGTGGTTTACCCTGGGAACAGTAGCTTGTGTGCTGTTGGTCTAGGGCGGCTACCTCTGGGCCTTTGTCTGGAAACTTTTATCTCAGGGCAAGTTTGGTTAGTGCTTTTGCTCTGGTTTTACCTGTTCTCTGAATTACATTGTGCAGTCTCCAATGCTCCCAGTGCAGTGCTTGGCTGCAGTTTGCCCAAGACTCATTCCATCCTGTCACACTGAATACTCTGATTTCAAATTAAGGCTGCGTTTCATGGGGAAAATCAGTAACGTTATGGTGAGTCAAGAAGGATGAAGTCAGTTGGCATAACTCAACATGGCGAAGCCTGCATGTTGAAGATTTCATGCTACAAAATGCCTTTGAGTCAATTCAGAGCACTCTTTCAGCAAGGACTAAATCCCTAAGGATTAAGGACCACTTTACTCACATTAGAACCACTTTAATCTGAAATGCGGATATCCATTTGGGGCTTTAATGCATGTTAATTTCCCATGGTTAGAAGAATTGGCTTAACTCACTGAATGTCCTCATGCAGGCAAACCCTATATCTCCCATGTTTTGCATTTTTGCAGTGTCCTGTATCAAAGGACTGCTGCGTCACAGCTGCTACCCACATGTCTAAAATCCTCTTTCCTTCTCTAAGTCACTGACTCATGCCTTTCGTCAACTCTTGACTCTCTTTGCAAAGTTTTGTACACTGCAAGCTATATAAAGAAACAAATTGCATTCAACTGTATTAGCAAGCAGCCTAGAGGGTTGGTTTTGGGTTGGTTTTTTGTTTGTTTTTTTTTTCTGTACACTGTCAGAAATTAATTTTCCCAAATCTTCCAACTTTCTGAAACACTTGACTCACATTCCATAGTTATCAGAACTACTTCATGCCTTGAAATTACTGCATATGGTCATGTTTTACTCCTTCATTCACTGTGTTCTTTATGCAGAGCTGATCATTTTTTCAGAAATTCTTTAGATGATGCTACAATTAGCACATTTCACATAGAACTAGCAAGTCCATCTACTCTCTCACTGTAATTAGAGAGAAATGTAACACATTTGAAAATAAATAGTCCAGGCATGAGGTGGTTTTGTGGAACAATACAGAACAAGTGGGTGGACAGGAATGTAAAAATAGAGCCAGGATTCTCAGTGGTAAAAATTGGCTCATCTCCATCAGCTTGCTGGAGCTACAATAGCCTGAACTCTCACATTTGGTGATGAGCTATAAAATGATAAAAATACATAGTATAAGGAGAAATGTATCCTTCTAAGTTGTTCTTTCAGTGGAGTTCTGTTGGCAACAGCACAGCTTCGGAAACAATCTAAACAGGTTTCTGTAGTTGCACTCTTGGCTGTAACTCACATGGAGTTAGAACAGGAGAAGTTGTGCAGAATGAGGGGATCTCTGTGATATCTAGAATTAGTGGAGATATACAGGAGGTAAATTAAGAGTTTTCTCCATATCATAATGATGTGAGCGACCAGGAAACACAATGGCTCAGACTGACACTTTATGTTTTATAATTTTATGCCACTGAGCAGCGGAGAGAGAGGAATATTGGAAAATTCCTTGGGTTTTTTTTCACTTTCTTGTGACCACAGCAGCTTCTTTTCCTGGGCTAAATTCTGGAGTACTGTTTTAAAAAATGCAAACATAACTTCAGAAAAATCAGGATACAGGTTCCAAATTTAAGGTGCTGTCGGAAGTTGTAATCCCATCCTCCCAGTCATCTCTAACTTCATATCACGAGTCTCCTACACCACAGCTTCTCTTTATAGTTTCTCACAGGCAGATTTCTGGTTTGCGTAAATTGGTTTGGCTCCCTTGGCATCTTCCAGGAGATCATGGGCAGTGCTCAATAAAGAACCAGACACCTAAAATCTGCTTCAGCCATCATTTTGTCAGCACTAAGAGGAGAAAAGCAAGATCTTTGTGGCCTAACTTCCTGGTGTAGTATCTATGGTTAGAAATTGTCTTGAAGCAAGTGCTTATCTACTTGTTTGTAACTGTTTAAGGAAGCCAGGTCATTAAATCCAGTTATTCATATCAATCTTTACTTGAGAATTTTGTTTGTCTTTTCTATTTTTCTATAAGTGAAAAGATTTTATGACAGCTTAGAAAGATCTCATCATAGCTGTGCTATATTTATTAGTCAGAAGTCTGATAAGATGTGGCCTTTTCTCCTTATGACTCTCCAAATACATTATTTCACTCATTTCTTTGCTGTTTCTGGCTGACAGCAGCTCTTCAAATGGCTTAATATAGTATGTAAATATAATGAATTTGCAGAATATGGATCATCAAAGAATAGAATTATGTCGTACTTAGTCCTCCCTCATTTCTCAGGCTAATATAAAATGTCATATAGTTCTGTTATTGAATTGGAAACAAGTTGTTGCTTTTCTTTAAATTTAGGTTATGGTAAAAGGCTGAGAGTACTCCCACATACTTACATGGGAAATATTGTAAGTATGAATCATCTTCACTGCATTTTCTTTGTCCCTGATGCTAGTGGTAGGGCTACTGAACTCTTGAAGCATTGAGGTTGTGTGTGCTGTTCCCTTTATTGACATGTCTGATGACTGGGATTGGGACAATTACTTTGTTTTCACAGTTGTCAGCTAAGTTTTACACTTCTATTACTCCTATACTGAAATTCCCAGGACAACAGTATTCATACAGAGATCCTCTGAGCTGTTAGTGTAAGGGCCATTATTAGGACAGTGTTGGGAAGCAAGACTAATTTTTCATTTATTACTGAATGAAGTATCCTGACAAGATGATTTTGTGTACCTAACTCAGGTTTCCCTACAATGAATGATTCAACAGTCATCTGTATTGCCACTGATCATGTAGAGGTAAACCACTGGAATACTGGAGGACCAGAATTTGCTCAGAATTGTTAGTGTTGATACAGTTGAGATGTCTGTGGCCTTTCAGACAACATCTGCAGCTCAAGGGAGACTGGGTAGGGAAGAACCGGAATTAAGAGTCTGAGAACTTGGACAGTGCCTCCCTCCTCAGATGTGATGGGCCTTCTGGGCTCTGTGCCCAGGGAGAGCCGCCAGGGACTGCCATCATCACTTATCTGCAGACAGAAGGACATGAGTAATGCTTTGGATGTCACCTCACACCTCTCCTGCTGCAGAGTGGTGATACTGCTGCAGCAGAGCCACAATCACCCCCAGGGAATCCAGGGTGGCAGCAGGAATGCTGTCCCACTTATGTTTTGCACCTCAGACAAACCTCTGGGCATAAGTGACACTTTGGCCTTGGCTAAGAAGAAATACAGAGCTGAACCTGAGGTTTTTTCCCTAGATTTTTGGTGGTTCTTCTGTTATTTCAAGTGCCATGCACCTCCAATCCTTCACCAGGTTCTCACTTCTATAGGTTCTCACTGTTCAGTGATGCTAAGTGTGCACATTTTACTTAGTGAGTTATTTTTCTTAGAGAGAGAAAGAAAGAGCAGGTTTGTTTGGGGTTTTTTCACTTTTGTGTCTTAAGGAAATAAATTCTTTGTCAAAGAATTTTGAATATGTTGGTCAATTTCAGCAAAAGGGATGGCTGGGCAGAGATCTCCGAGGCATGAAGATCTGACAGGTGACTGGATTGGGGCAAGAAAGAGGGAGCAGCAGGGGGAACTCAGCTGAGATTTTTCCCTGACAGCCTCTGGTTAACCAGTGACTGTGCCTGTAGCTCTTCATACCCTGTGCTTGCTAGTGCTCAGCAGGAAGCCTGAAGGCTGTAGACAAGGGACATATATAAGCAGATCTTTGGATGTTGTATGAACAGATCAAGGGGACTGTACAAGGAGCTTGAGGGGGAGGAAGATTTAGGAGAGACAAAGACTGGGGGCATGGTGATGGCAGTGTTGCAAGAAACAGAGGTGACAGTTGGATTACGTACATGGATTAGTGCTGAGGACATAGAAAATACATTTTAAGACGTCAGGCTTAATTTGCTTTACTGCTAATGGAATAAGTTATTTCCCTCTTCAGTCCCAATTGCCAGAGCTTTGTTTTTGTATTGGCTCTCATCACCAATGACTAGAAAGGCAGATGCAAGCTTCCACTGCTTGAAATTTTAGCATGGCAAAAAATAGTGTTTTCTAACCAGGGAACAGCTCCCTGATAACTGTGGTAAGCAAATGGAAAAACCACAGCTCTAAAGCACATGTGTGTGTTCAGTGCAGCGTTCTGTACGAATTAGAGGCAGAAGTCACTACAGAGCCAGCTCATGTAAGTAGAGCTTACCCAAAGTGTAGTGTTTAACACCTTCTCCTACTCTTGGCTCTCTGATGTGTTTAGTGTGGGTGTTCTGCAAATGTGAATAGGCCTTATCAAGCTGCGACCTTGAAAGAGCTGCTGTTATGCAAGAAACCAGATTCTCCTTGTACAGTACTTGCATAGAAGTCACTAGCAGCCCACAAAAGAGTTATTTGCCACTTCCTCAGTGAATGGAGGTTTTTCACTTGGCGGTATGCCTAGTTCAGAGTGTATACCAACCAGAGACTAAATCTACATCTTTTACCTTCTCCCAGGAATAACATTTGCAATAGATCTGATCGCCTTTCCCTTTATCAAGGTGACTGTGTCATCCTTTTGCAGTTCAGTGTTATGTTCTTACACAACTTGAGCTTTACTGAAGTTCTAAGGCAAATGGAAACATCAATAATATTTCTGTGAGCCTCCAAGAAAGTCGTGGGATACAACAAAGTGAAAAAACTTGGAATAATAACCCCCAGACTTCCAGAATCCATGTTTCTCATCATGTATGTGATCTGATTACAAGACCTGAAAAAGGAAACGATGTGCTTCATTGAGGAACGAATGGCGTCTGGAAATCCTGGTTTCAGAGAGCAAACCAGAGGCTTTGCACAACAGTCATTTCACCAAGCTGAAGGATGATGCAACAACATTCTTTGTAGACAGGCAGTGGGCAGAGTCTCCAAACATGGTCCAAAACAAACAAACAAAAAAAGAGCACAGGTTTACTCCACAGAAAATAAGAAGACCATTTTTTATTATTGTTCTAATCTATGACTGTGAAGATCTAAGCAGTAAAAAGTGAAGGGGAAATGACCTGCCAAACTAGTGAGACCCTCCTTTCCTTTCCAAGAGTTACACCACAGCCTGCGTCCTTGCTACATTGTCTTCCTTTCCTCACCAGTAAGTTTCAGAAACTCTCTGGGAAGATAATTGTTTACAGCTTTTATGATTACATTGCTGGAATGTTGTCAGAAGAAAATGCTTGCCCTGAGCTGCTGCAAGGTATTGTGCTGCCAGAAAAAAAAAAAAAAAAAAAAAAAAAAAAAAGGGGGTTCTTTGTAACTGAGCAACTAGAGATCTCTGATTTTTCTCAACTCTGCTCACAAAACAGTAACAAAAGGCTATGTCCACATGGACAGCTTAACATGCTCATGAAGCACATATCTGACCATTAGAAAGAGTTGTCAAGAATTCATTGTGAAGACAGAAGAGAAAGGAGAAGCAGAGTGCTAATACAAGACTAGTGCTTATTATCTAGATGCTTAATGCACAGTAAGATGCAAGATGTCATTGCAAATCTCCCGTTCTTCACTTCATACCATGAAAAGGACTTGGGCTTAGCCAGTTAAAGGTATGTTGCTGTTAGATGTGGCCAATTTGTTTGAAAAATAAGTATTACTATGACTCAGCTATACACTAATCAATTTTATTGCATTGTAAATCAGTTATAGTCCTGATAAATTGTTTTTAATTGAATACATTTTAACAGTTTGCAGACTTCTTAATATTGATGAGTTTCCATAGTAGTTCTTTTTATTACATCTGGAAAAGGACCTTCCCATGCACAAATATTTACAATATCAGCAGGTTTTTGAACCAGACCAATGTTTACCTTTCAAGGTTAAAAGTGTCAGCGTTCCTCTCCCACTGAAAGGTGTGCTTTGGAGTGCTGCTGTATCAGCTAAGAAATCTTTGCAGGAAAATTGTAATTATATGACAACGTTCTTTCCAATCCTTTGTATCACAACAGCAAAGAAATGCACAGAAGTCACCCAAGTCAACACCATCTCTAGCCCAGGAAATGCAGGCTACTTTAAAAATAGAGTAAATGACAACCTGTCGTGGATCTAAGAACTGGGGTTTACTTAACAACCATCAAGTTCAGAACGTTTACCCTTCTTAATTATTTCACACACTCACTCACTCCTGCAGCACCCCAGTGTTACGTTCACTAGATTCTCAACTTCCCTTTCCAGCAGGGACCTCACTGTCCACCCAGGAAGGTCATCCCCTCCATGGCATTCACCTAACCACAGACCTCTGGTCTCTAGGGTCTTCCCCCACTTTCAGGACCTTTCCTCTAGCCAGGATCTTTACCTTTCTTTTTCCAAGCCACCTTCTTTTTATGGAGACCACTTGGG